TACGGATTGGTCAAATTCGAACCAAAGACTGTCTGTAGAAACTTACATAAACTTATGCAGAAAAACTTTCTTGGATGAAATTTTTAAAATAAATACCTATGTTTATCTTACCTCATTATTAACTGAAGATTGTGGAGACAAACGATTAACAAATTTTGAGGAATTTGTTTTCGTATAGTAATTTTATGCGCTGCTCTTAAATGATTTGACGATGTTGTTGTACTGTCATTAAAATTCATTTATCTACCACACTTTTCAAATTTCACTTCAGTTTTATTGGCAATTTTTTTTAAATACGACCAAAAAGCACTCCGCGCCCTTCATAGAAGATCAGTTTTTATATGCAAATAAATCAAAAAAAGTGAAAAGTCGACATCAGTCGACTTCCATAAACTAAAAGTCGATCGATTGCTGAAGGTGGGAGTGCTAAAACTGGTAGCGGACCGAGGAATGCCTGGTCTAAGCAAACTCTGGCCAAATGATCAGATGTCTCATAACCAGGTACTCCAGAGTGACCTGGCACCCACAGTAAAACAACCTCGTTATGTTCACTATCATATTTAAATCGAGACCTGCCTTGCCGAACTAGTTTGGAAGTACTTAAATAGAGGTCTGGTCAATGCCTTAAGTGCAGCTTGGTTGTCACTGCAGTCACGTAAACTCCTTCCCCTCCACCTATGTTCCACCACGTTATTGCAATTACCTCAGCCTCAGCCACAGTGAAGTGAAGCTTATCTCCAATAACCTCGAAAAAGACCCCAGATCATGAACCAAAGTCAGTTTTGGAGCTATCAGTGAAGATTCGGTCTCAGCGTTGGAATCAAACCAGCATTCAGTCTCAGGGAACTCAATATTATAGGATCTTTTCAACAAAGGTAATGGTGGCGTATTATCCTGTAGCATTGAAAATACACAAGTGCTTAAATCTCATACCAGCATCCGGTTCTTTTTAAATTATAGGTGGCCTTTAAGGCTTCCCCACGTATGAAAACACAAAGTGACGGTAAGTGCAGCAGTGCGTAAAGAGCACTATACATCACTCAAAAAAATTAAAGTTAAATCAAGCAACCATTTTGGCTCTTTACATTGAAACCAGAAAAATTTTCGTGGACACCAATTTAAAACTCATGAACCTCCATATTTTGTTCACGTCACCGTGGACCCCAGTCGAGTCTTCCGTGGACACCTGGGGGTCCACAAGGACCACTTTGGGAATCACTGCTATAAATAAATAAATAAATCTCAGGGGGAAGCATTACAAAAGGTTGGTATTTTATTACAAACACCTGTACTTTTCTCATGGCCATTACCCTACAAGAATTGTGTGATGGAAACTAACACATTCCCATTTATCTTACTAACACATTTGCAAATTTTGTGTTGGTTAAAAAGAGACCATTATAATATATTTAATTAAATAAGGCCATAAGTTGGAGGAAGACGGAAGATCATATGTACACAAATGTTTACATCAGATTTTTCACACTGCCCTTTAGAATTTGATAGAAACTTGTAGGTAGCCAGTGACAGAAATCTCTATCAGTCTTGCCACTCAAATGATTTGTCAAATGATAGTCACTGTTCTTGCAGGGTATATGTAGCTGCCAGTAGAATTCGTTCGTTTGACGGATGGCGGTTCTTCATTTCAGATAGTTCAGATGAAGGTCATTTGTCTGCCGAAAAAAGGGCTTTTATAAAAAAAATAATAATTTGTAGAGAAATTGTTAGGGGTCTTTAAAAAACTAGAAAACGGTCGAATCTCGACAGTAACTGGCACTCTAGTCAGTATTATGTGCCATACATCAGACATACATATGTATGTACGCACATATACATATGTACATATAAGGGGCATGTGCGAAACAGAGCATACAATCCACTCGGTTCATACTCGTTACAAGTATTTTTGCTATGCACATACAACAAATTTGTTAAAACTCCCTAGGGGTGAAGTCGTTCGCACTCAGCGGATTTTTATTTAGTTATTTCGTACTCTTCAACGCGTGGCGTTGCTCGAAGAAACAAAGCTTTCAGTTATGAGCGGTAGCTTTTTTAAGAAAATCAGTGCTTGAAAGTAGTTTTAAAGGGTTAAGCGTTTAATATATGTATGTATGTATCTATCATCTGTATAAATAAAATAACAATAACATATATACATATTTATGTGTGTAACTAGGTAGTGTATCGTTTTGTACATATCTATATGAGTACGAATTGAAAAAGCAATGCAGCGTACTCTCGTAATAACTTAGCGACTCGCAATAAGCGAGCAAGTGATAAGCGATGCCGAGTTAATTGATATGAATATGGACTTACAAACATATGTACATACAGTGGCAGATCCAGGGGGGGAAGGAAAATTGCGGAACAAGAGCTGTGTAACATGCATTTTCATAATATTCAACTGTAAAAAATTATGAGTGAGCTATTTTAAATCTGAAAATTTTTCATTTACCCTGAATAGCATCTATAGTAGTAGGTATCTATTCCATATTCCTGAATTTATGATAGTTCTTCGTATAAACAAAATTTTTCGAATACTCGTCGATATCTCATTGTGTGACCTTTGGCAATCGGCTAAAATAATACCAAATTGCAATTGATTGATACTTCCCATGAGGGATGTTGCGGATGTGGAATTTTAGACATCCGCGGATGCGAATGCGGATGCGAATATCTAACAGCTAACATCCGCGGATGCCAATGCGAATGCGGATGTCAAGTATTTTAAAAAAACAATTTGAATCTAGCATAATAGCGAGATCGTTGTTTAAACAGCGCTTACAAGCCAAACCAGATACATATGTCATGTTGTTTTAGAATTTGGAGAACCTGTAACTTTAGAGCACTTTTCGATTTTAGTTTTTGTAATGGATGTAAAGTCGGTGATGGATCTCACGGTACCCGCTATACCATCAAAATCAAAACACGAAAATTTTGTTAAGAATTACAGTGCACACTTTCTTCTTTTGTGTCTTGTATTTTTTTTAAGATTGGTCCAAAAAAATCATAATAAAGAAAGAACCCAAAGCATGTATTTAAAGCACAGAAAAAATATATTATTAAAAGGACTATGTTCTCATTGACGTACGTCAAAGGTCAAGTAGAAGTGGGAACTTTTATGGCTGCCCATTGATAGCTTGGTTATATAGCTTAAGAAATAAAATTTTAAAGACATTTTTATCAAAGTTAATAAATATAACATTTGACCAGTTTTGTTACACAAATACTCCTACGACCACAGGCAAAAATACTGGCTACAATTTGTAATTTTTTTTGCCATATATACGTTTTATCGGTCCACTTGAAAAATATTCGCATTCGCAAGAGCTCCGCATTGATTATTGCGAATGCGAAAGCGAATGCGAATGTTAAAATTAATGCGCAAGCTCCGCAGTTGCGAATGCGAATGCGAATATTCGCAACAACCCTGCTTCCCATTTATGTTAAGAAGGATGTTAAACGATTTTTTTTAAGAGATGNATTGTATGTAAATAACTAAAAAAGTAAAAATATAGACGTAGTCCGCCTTGTGCTCTTATTTAAACGGTATATAACTTTATTTACAGGTGCCACAAATTTTTAAAAAATCATTTCAAAATTTTTTTAAATATCCATAAGGTTTTTAATTTTTCGAAGATCTGACTTTTGACCCCCTATAGCATCTGTAATATAAGTTTGCACAAAAAAAAAGTGATATACCGTTTGAATAATTGCAAAAGGCATACCACGACTATTTTTGAATTTTTTTAGTAGTTTACATACAGTAATTAAAAATAATTTTTTACCAAAGGTCCGATTTCGAACTTCGAAGGCCCATAGCTCGAGGCTAACTTCGAAAAACGGAGAAATTACATTCTTAATTATGACTCAATCTCTTAAAAAAAGTTGGTTTTATCCAATACCCAGCCGAGTGCTGCACAGTGTAATTTTTAGGAAAACTTAAAGAAAATACTGATAGTTTCTTTTCTTGCTTCGTTCTGTTTCATTGGTTCTTGGTAATCTTTGCTTGGCTCACATTGCAATTAACTGCGTTGTGCATGTGCCCGGAGAATTGAAAAATTATCTTTTTATCATGAAGGTAAAAATACCTCTTTTGGAACGAGTACCAGCTTTAAAATGTTATATATTTTTGTAGAAAAAAAAAGAATTAAGCCGCCCAGTGAACACACATGAGTGCGATTTTCCTGCAACATCGTGAGCACTTACAAAATTGCGCAATTATTGACCGTCTGCATCCGCATAATTGCGCAATGATTGATCAATTTCGTTATTTTTCTGAAAAATTATATTTGTATCATATAATTAATACACACTGGTGAAAAATGCCTACCAGTTCTTCGAATTCACTGAATTTTCAAAATTTTCAAATTACTTAATTTTCACTTTTTCCATTTTTTGTCTTTTCCAATTTGTACTATTTTACATAGTTGAAAGTCACAGCAAGTTTGAATATTTTCGCAGGTTTAGAAAATAACAAAAATTCCAAAATTTTGAATATTATGAAATTATCAAATTTCTTGAGATTTCTTATTTTTAGAATAATTTCCAAATTTTTAAAAACTATCGAAATCTGGGAGATTCTAGAAATTTGTTAAAATGAGAATTTGTGAAATGTACAAAATTATTGAGATTTTAGAAATTTTTATATTTTTATTTATTCTGAAATCCATCCTAAAATGTAAACATGTGAAACATCACAAATTGTCGAAAATGTCTTATGTTCATGGTACTTGTGTATAAAACCTAGGTAGTTCTTAGAATTCTAAAATATATTAACATTTTTGAAAAATTCCAAAAATTTTCCACTTTTCTGAACATTTATTTTATGCTTTGTCTACTTCAGTACATACTATTTTTGTATTTTATTCACGATATATGTGGAAAAAATATTTTTCCCCCTCTCCCCCCAAGAATTGCTGCTGGGTCCGCCCCTGGTACATATGTATATATGTATGTTAATATGTACGATCGAAATATTCTCGTTTATTCATTTGTACATGTGTACATCCCCATATGTACTATATATGGTATTACCTGCTAAACACCACACAGGCGACGTCGCATTCTCAGTTAGTCCATAGGTCGGGATAGCTGCCATTGTTTTGTGCTCGTTATTTTTATAATTTTTAATTCATTTATAGAAGTAATAAAAAATTAAACGTTGATTGCTTTATAGTATATATTCTAAGATGATCTACATTGCCACTTTGGACGTAGGCACTACCACCGTGCGCTGCTTCATCATAGATGCCAGAGGTGAAGTTTTGGGTTCGTCCACTGAAAGGGTAGGTCAATATAAGCCGTGTTTTTTTTTACAAGTATGCATTTCTAAAATGTACTTTTGCAAAAAAACAAGCATCGACAATTTCAATTTAAAAACAAATAATTTTGATTTTATCAACAACTATTCATAAGCACACATAAAGTTTCCCGCTTACAGCTCCTTACAAATTTTTGCCTACGTTTATAACCCAGTGAATTCGCATCGCGCNTTTAAAAACAAATAATTTTGATTTTATCAACAACTATTCATAAGCACACAAAGTTTTCCGCTTACAGCTCCTTGCAAATTTTTGCCTACGTTTATAACCCAGTGAATTCGCATCGCGTGATGCGATCAAAATCGCTACCAGCGATCAATTACACAAATTCTAAGGGCGGTATCAATCGCTGCCTCACACACACCGCCATATGAATTTGTATAGTTGATAGGCTAGGTCAGGACTGGCGAACCTATGACACGCATGCCATTAATGTTATTAATTGTGGACTCAATTCCTCAATTACTGGTAGTAGTATTTACTACCTAATCGACACAATTTCTTTTTTTTCGTACAAATGGGAGATCAAAGAAAGATCTACTCACTCCCAAGAAAACCGGTCCAAAAGAACCAAAAATACAGACAGTAACCAAAAAAATCCACATAAGAAACTCGATTCTTGAGTTATATTGGACCGTATGAATNCCAAAAGAACCAAAAATACAGACAGTAACCAAAAAAATCCACATAAGAAATTCGATTCTTGAGTTATATGGCATCATTCATCAATAAGCTTTGAGCGCAAAGCATGTCCTCGTCTCCCTTCGCGTTATAATTGGCATAGTTTTCAAAAATAATGAACCTCGAAATTTTGNCTGAAATTTTAAGAAAAAGCATTTGCTTATTTTTATTCATACGGCCCATTGTATCATTCATCAATAAACTTTGAGTGCAAAGCATATGTTCGTCTCCCTTCGCGTTATAATGGGCATAGTTTTCAAAAATAATGAACCTCGAAATTTTGAGACTTATACATATGTGGCTTGCAAAATTGGTGGTTTTTACGGATATGCGCCAGCAATGATTTAAATGTAAAGCTTGAAGGCTCTAATAAAACTGTTATAATTATGATGCATAGATCTCATTCGCGTTATTTAGGCTAAACTGAAAGTTATTGGTAACACGGTTGCCGTTTTGGTCCAAGTGGACGAAATTTGGTCCATTTCTTTTCGTTTGGTCCATTGGTCCAATTCTTTTTAAAATGGTCCATTTCACAAGCCTTTGGTTAGGATATTATCACCCTTTCACTTCATGCAATAAAGTTTGCGTTTTAAATTTTTTCTATTTAATTGATAAATATTGCGCCCTATGTTGAGTATCGTCGTCGTCAGTAAATGTGGCGATACGCCCATCGTCAGCCATGTTGCTGATGCGCTGACGATCTTCGACGATGACGATGACGATATTCAGCATAGGGCCGATTGGCAGCACCTGCTAAAAGTGTGAATTCGCCTTGCCACTGATCTTCAAATATGGCATGGCTAATCATCTATTAGCTAATTTCAATTACTCGGCGACCAATATTAAAGTGGCTGGCAAAAATATGGAAAGGTAGCAAAAATTAGCATTTAATAATAATAATAATAGGTTGGCGCTTACACATATGTTAGTGTTTGGCCGAGCTTCTCCTCCGATTTGTGGCGTGCGCCTTGATGTCGTCATACAAAGCGGAGGGACCTACAGTTTTACGCCGACTTCGAATGGCGATTGTATTTTTATGAGAAGCTGCTTTTCATGGCAGAAATACACTCGGAGGTTTGCCATTGCCTGCCGAGGGACGACCGCTGTTAAGACATGAAATTGACATGATGATTATTACATGAAAATAATATTCCATTTCAATCGAAAAGATATTAAACACCTTGAAATTATTACACCACATAAAGTTCTTTCTGATACTGATGTATGCAGCTGGGCGCAAATTTTTTGATTTAGCATTAATATAAACGAAATTAAGAAACAAATTATAACTTACAACTTTAAATAATATATTTAGTGTTAATAATATACAATTGTAATTCACTTTGGATGCAATATAAAAAAATCGTTTTAAAAACTGAATTGGCATATTTTCTCGATAAAGAGGGATAAACTCCACACAATTTCCCGATGTAATAAATATTGGCCCATTTTTGGTCCGAAAAATAAATTGGAAATGGCAACCGTGATTGGTAAAGATATTGAGGCATATTCATAGTCGAAATAAAGTCGACTCTAAATTTAGTAGCAGCTTTTTTGGCAGATATTACATAGACAATGATGTCAAAAAGCCGCAACTCACTTTAGTTTCGTCTTTATTTTGACTATGAATACGTCCCATTGATTAATTTTGATGAATGAACGAACTATATACTAGTTCAATGAGAACAAAAATAATACGTTAAAACTTGGAAAAAGTGGTTCGGTATAATTTTTTGACCACTGTACATTAGGTCAAATGATTATATTTGCTGTGCGAAATTAATAGCAGCTAAAATATTGCACTATTTTAAAGAAAAATGATGCCAACCGTTAAAAAAAAAATTGTAAAGTCAGTAAATAAAGTGTGAACACATGACTTAGCATTCGTAAGACAGACTGTTCTCCGCAAGGTTTTTTATGTTCAAAAGACGAGTATATGTGTTTAAGTATTACTCGAAAACATTGTCCAATTAGCTTGGTTTTGACACAGCGGGCTTGGTGACATGCCCGCTGGCAGAATTCTATAGGCAAGTGTCCTGCGCTGGGCATGCCTGGTATAAAGTTTCGCCAGCCCTGGGCTAGGTACAGACCTAGCGGATTGGCGTCGCGCGATGCGATTAAAACCATTACCAGCGATCAACTATACAAATTCATATGGCGGTGTTTATGATGGTGCGATTGATACCGCCATAAGAGTTTGTGTTCGCTTGAGGCGATTTTACAGGCAACTTTTAGTTGAAAGCGAAAATCGCCTGGTGTGAACGGGTTTTCAACTAATCGCTTCCCATGAAGTTGGGGTGCAGACGACTATTGATTCGCCTCTAAAATTGCCTGGAAAATCGCCTCATGCGAACACCGCATAATTGACCGCTAGTAGCGATTTTAAACGCTTCGCGCGATACGAATTTGCTTGGTCATGTATCGAGCCTTATGGCACCGTTAATCATTGCGCCATAAACACCGCATGTAAATTTGTATAATTGATCGCTGAATTGAATTGAAAACCTCGACTTTAGATATGAAATGTTGAAATGCAAAGATTGAGTACAACTAAATATAATACACTTCTATGCAGGTCAAATTGCTGAACCCTCAACCGGGGCACTTTGAAATTGAACCAGAAACGCTGTGGGCTCAAATCGTCAGCGTTGTAAACAGGGCAGTTATAGGTGAGCAGAGAATAAAAAAATATTAGCTCGTGGTTATAGTCAAAATAAAGTTTTAATAAAGTCTTAAAGTAATCGCAGTTGCAACTTTTTGACACAATTTACAATGAGATATCGTCGCTGGAATAATGAAATAGTGTAACATGAAAAGTATAGTTTTGAGAAAAACGAATCGGAAGTTTTTACAAACCATTACAAACCATACAAATACAATTTCGTTTTTCGGGAATATATTAGTGAGCCAAAGGGATATTTAAGAAAACTAAAGATTTTTCTAATAGATTAAAGGATTGTCTATCCAGTGGTGCAATTATCGAATAATAGTGTATGTGGCATTTACACTGTTTCTTTATTCGAGCGACGATATATGTATGTCAAAAAAGCTGGAACTTACTTTAGAGTCGACTTTATTTTGACAATAACTACGGTTCATTAAGGTTAATCATCAAAACATGCTAACTTTGGAAATGTGTAACTTTAAGATATTACACCCAGTATTGCATGCTTGCACCTCGTTAAATATGCGTAAATACATACTTATACTTGTCTAATCTTAACGATCGTACATATTGTTTTACTAGGGCGTTCTTGAAAAGTGTTTTGAGATAGAGCGTTTTCGAACTGGGTGCCGAGATAGGTCGATCTTCCACTCAGCCATCGATATAGTGGTAGTGACATTGAAATGTACTACCACCAACCATGTAGTAATAGGAAATTTGAAATGCACTACCACTAACCATATAGTAGTAGTGAAATTTGAAATGCATTATCACTGAAGCCCTAGTGGTAGTGAAAATGTCGATTTAGTGCAGCGTGACCAACCCTGACGCACAGTGGTTCAAATAGCACGAAAGTCAAAATTTTATTTGTTTATAAAATACTTTATGGTACTTGGAATGCATTCCTGACAACACATTTAAATAACAATTGCATTTATTAAAGCAATAAACACATGGAAACAAAAAAAGGTAAGTCAACGCCGTCTATTTGAGAACTCTATTTTAAAAAGTGAAATTTAACTTAAAAATTTGCTAATCGCACTCACAATTATTTGCATAATTGCATATTGAATTTATAAACCAAAAATTACACTTATTTCGCTATAGATGCAGAGATCATAACGAAATTTATGTCCACATTAGTGTAAGTAAATTTGTACTGAAAATTCGTCGTTTTGATTAATTAAAAAAATAAATTAAATTCCTTGTTAGAACTAAATCCGTTTTATATTCTTTGACCAACCTCAAAATAATAAACAGTTTAAGTACGAAATGAAAGAGAATCAAACTTAACCAGTAGTATATGTTTTTGTGTTTAATTAAAATCAAAGTGAAATTTTTAAAAGCAATTTATTTTAAAATGCGCAAAGCGCATTTGGTTTTGAACTCGGATTCTTAATAAGGAAGGAACATACTTTATTGCAGTACTGTCAAATTTAAAACCGGTTTGCGTATTTAAAATAAAAGTGATTTTGAAAATTACACTTGCAAAAAGCAGAGGTTGATTTAGTTTTTTTAAACATAATTTTTTTAAAACACATAATTTCAAACAAAATACACCAAAAGAATAAATAAACTTCATTCACAAAATAACGAAATATAATACCGCTTTCTTACAGTAACAATTTGAATTGCACATTTGCATTTCTCAGTTTTGAAAAGAAAAAAGATTTTTGTTCAAATTTGTCAAGTTTGGACACGCATATCTCCCAGCCGAAAAACGATAGAAAGGTGAAAACTGTCCCGCAAATGTAGAATTTAATGGGAACCTGCGTTTTTATTTTTACAAAAAAAAACATTTCTTTAATTGAATTTTGGGCACGCTTGGCTCCAGTGTGAGCTGTGCAAATAATATTCAACGGCGTGATGAGGACGTGAACGTGGAAAAGACATTGCCGCGCATTTCTTAATGTTCAAATTGAGCTTATTCTCTACACACCAGCAATGCTACTTATAGTTAATAGACTTGATGTGAGGTGAACAATATGAATATTTGCTAATAATGAAAATATTATTTTAGAGCTAAAAAGAGTTCAATAGAAATCCAAGAGACTTGAGAGGGAAAATATATTTGTATACGTATTTATGTGCTACAGTACCATAAATACAAGCTGTTAAGAAGCAGGAAGAGAGTTGAACAATTTGCACGACGTGTATGTATATAAACTTCCAAAATGAGACGTGCGAGCAGGCGGAACATGTACAGATGGAAGTAAGTTTTTGCGTAAGTAGTAAATTTCTGACGGAAAGCTTTCTAGGTAGCCAGATTTAATAAAAAATATTTTTAGAACTTTGAAACAATATAAATGCCGGCATGGAAGTATATCGAGTTTTCTAAAAAATTGCATAGTGTGAGATCTGCTGTTAGCGTTACTGATCCGTCTAATTACGCGTATTTGAATTGTTACAATGGGTGACAATTTATTAGCCGAAGCGCCACCCCAGCAGGTGATACCATACTGCAGCTTTGACTGAAATATACCATAATAAACAATTTTTAGTGTGGACATAGAACACAACTTTTTGAGGCGGTAGAAGTGACGAATGGTGTTAAGAAAGTATTGTTTTATCGCACGAAGAAGTTCAGACCACTTCAAACGATTGTCAATAACTATACCTAGATACTTAAAATTTTACAACAGCGTCAACCTTAAAACAGTTGTCGGTGCATTTGACAGTGCACACAAAAGACTTAGGAGATATTCAAAGAGCACGCAATATTATGCAGATTGAAACGGGGACAATCTGAGGAATGAAATATAACATCACAGCTTGGCAATTCTTTGGGGCATGGCTAAAATACATAAGCTTAGTTTTAGTACCTACAAGTAGTTTGTGGATATTGGAAAAGATTAGTTGTAGTTGATCTACCTCCGAAGAAGCCATATTGTCGAGTTGAGTTTTACGCAAACTCCACACTCGTTCCGTTGCAGAGCGCCAAAATTATACGTTGTGTTGATTCTTTTTATTTTTAATACAATTTACACTGAAAGTTTATTGTTTTTCAGCAGATGATCTACATTCACGACCTTAACACACAACGTTGCCTGTATATAATAAAATAAAATGTCTATCATAAATGTGTTTTATTTCAACGATTTAGAGTTTAAGGGAAAACCCATATTGAGTTAAATGAAGAAACCTTCAAAATGAATAATTAAGACCTGCAGTGGAATTCTGACAATCGCTACGCTAAATTTTTTTCGCTAAAATTCTCTCAGTGAAAAGCAGTGGGTCCTAAAAGTATACAACATTGAAGAGTAACACATGCAATCTGTAATCAGCCAAATCTGGCAGTATGCGGGGAATGTAACTAGATGTTACGTGTTGATAGGGGCGCCTGCTATTCTTTTGGAGATTTTCGGCGATCAAAATTAGTGATAGCGAACGGTGGAGTCCGGCTGCTGTATTGTACTGCTTAAAAAATGTATTTTTATAATTTTTCAATTAAGAAAAATTAGCACGCTTTATTTTGTTATATAAATATGTATAAACTTAATCGTCATTTCCAATCGATGAAACTGTTTCATTTTTTCTTTATTATCAAATCCAAATCTAAGATGCCCAATTAAAACCCTGTGATATCACGAACTTTGGTTTGTCGACACAACGCTGTACATTTCTTACTTGGAACCACGAAACACAGGAGTATTACCATAATTTTATAACATGGAAAGATTTGCGTGCGAATACATTAGTGGACCAATGGAATACTGGAGCAGCTATTAAGGCATTAAACATATTTTCTTACGTTTTGTACTTGATTACACGGAGCAAACGATTTCTAGCAGCAAGTGTGCTGAAAATGATGAATGGGCAGGTAAATTATGTATTTCGATGTATTGAATAACAAAAGCTTTTTTCTTTAGCATAACAGCCGGTTTCACCAGAAATTTAAATGTAAAATGATTTTCTGTCAATTTCCATATAAAATTAAAAAATTAAAATAATTTTTCACTTAAATTGCTTTTGTGAAATTGGCTGTAAAAGTGTTACCATGATAAAAATATAGTAAGGTAGAACCGCTGAGAGTCACTTTTAAAATTCTTGACGTTTCCAAACAATTTAATTTTTAAATTTACTCACAAACTCACACACACATTTTCATTTTCAATCTCAAGCAACAACAATTTCGAACAATTTCAATTTTTTATTTTCACTTTTATATGATTTTAAAATGTCGGCAAACTTCAAAAAAAATCATGGCCGACAAATTGAGAGAACGGTTCTACCTTGCTATGTTTTTATCATGAGTGTAACAATTCACTATATTAAATTACTATCATAAGACTCGAGGTTATTCGAGGTGAACACATTAAAACAGAGGAGAGTAACACAAATGTTCAGTATAAGTTAAAAGCGACAAAAACCACGATTAAAACATTACAAGGTAAATTCATTCTCTCAATTCTTCAGCCATGATATTTTTCTGCGGTTTGCAAGCATTTTAAAATCATATAAAATTGAAAATAAAAAAAATTGAATTGCTCACAATTGTTGTTGTTTGAGATTGAAAATTAGAAAGTGTGTGTGAGATTGAGTTTTGAATTTTTAAAATACACATATTAGGTTTGTATAGTAACCAATATTCAGTACTAATTTGTACTGGAACCTGCAAATTTTTACTGGAAAAGTGTATGATAACCCAAAAAATTTGCAAGATAGCACTGAATCGAGAGCGTAACAACACGGGAGAGCTGAAAATTCTTGCTAGTGAAATTTTTACTAGCAGAAAATAGCTAGCAGAAGAAGAAGAAGAATAAATGTCAAAAGCCTCCATTTGTTGAATTAGTTTAGCACAAGCAAAAGTAAAATGAGTGGAAATCAAATATTAATGACGTACTGGATTTTATAAGCAGTGATCGAACTTAAAAAAATTCTTTGTGGTAGAATCTGGAAAAAAATGTAGATTTCAAAAAAATGTGGTAGAGATCAGGTTTTGGAACAAACTTTGTACAAAAATTAAAAAAATTCTTCAAGGTTTCACATAAATTGCAAACTTTTTATTTAGGCACTGAAAAAAAATTAATTTTAGCATATTAAGTGCAAGATTGAAGTTGCTAAAAATTGCGTTAAATTTTGGCAATTTTTTTCCTTAATAGTGTAAAGCAGTTGTAAAGCAGTGTAAAGTATATCAAGTTATTTTTCGAATATATTTTGAGAGATTTCTGCAACCTTGCGGAGTGCTGCCAGCTTTTCTTTTTATCACATCACGATGTAGCGAACAAATGTGGCACGTTCTAGAAACCGCTACTTGGGATGTGCCGATTTTGGCAATTCTCAAGTAAAAGTAAACAATGCCTCAGAAACTTTCGAAGCACTGAAATTTGCTAATCCCCGTTTTTTAACATTTTCGCCATTAATAATCTTTTTATAAATCAAATCTTTTGCAATTTAACACAATAAAATCACGTTTCCTGTCGAAAAATGTTTTATTGATTTGTATTACTGATTTGTGAATAGTAAAATGTTTACAGCAGAATATCAAAACGGTGCAACAACTATTCACTTGCAAGTGTTTACTAGCTTTGTGTTCAATAACTTTTTCTGCTAGTTTTCTCTCTCAATTTTACGCTCTATTTCGCTTTTACGCTCTCGCTGCAATATTTTACTGGTGAAGTTACTATACAAAGCTATTGCTGGCAAACGTCAGACTGCCTCTCAATGGTTTCACCTTGTTATATTTTTATCGGAACAAAAACTATTTAGAACTGAGGTGAGTTTTTCTTTTCAATTATATAAACTAACTAAGATTATTAAAAGTTTATTTTGAGTGCTAAGCGACGTCAACTGACTAAAATGAGTAAAACAATTAACCTTTTTGTGTTAGTTGAACAGCAGCAACTGATGATGACACCACGCGCATGTCGAAACAATTATTTTGAAATATAAACATTTTTAAGCGACAAAAAGATTGATTGTTTTACTCATTTTAGTTAACTAAGATTATGGAGAGAAACTTCTAAGGACTCAAGTGAGTCCAACAACTACACTTTTTATCACAAGCACCTATTGTAGTAATGTCTCCTTACTTTATCGCACGTTTAATAATAAAGAGAATAATTTCAAAATTAAATTTTGTGGGGAAACGCTATTAAAGTTTGGTCAATTATTATATGAATGTAATATACAAAATAGATGGAAAGACACATATCTTCGCCATTTTTTGGAGAGTTTAGTTATCTTGTAGACTAAACATATTCTTCTTGTCAAGCTTTTAACTGAATGATGAAATCTCAAAAAAAAAAAAAAATAAATATTGAATTCATTCCTTATATTATTGAACGTGCCGTATATTAATCTGATGTGACTGAGTGTTCCAAAGTTATAGCCAAAAAAATGTTTCACACCAAAAATTTTCTTCCAATATAAGTGTTCAAATAAAACTGACAAACACTAAACTTTTTTTTTTCGTGATACGCCCTAATGCACTTACTTTTCTTTGTACAGGTCACTCTGCGCCTTC